AACATGGAGCTAAACATGCGGATGAGGGCAGTAAAGTAGATGCCAACCATGACTTTGCGTCATCCTCTGAAGACGACATCGTTGAGAAGAAAAGTGACTCAACGTTGGTTATGTGGCGGTGGTTCGAGTATCTCCAAAGTGACGTTGAGTAATTAAACCGATGTGTAAGGTATGTCTGCGCTTGGTGCCCTCAAATACCGGCAACACAACAGATCTGTTTAATTAATTGAAGAAGTTCTTCAAGTTTCAATGCTGACAGCATGTGTAGCATTAGCAGTTTAGCAAAAATTAGCGATGTAGCCACAAGACCAAAGCAATCAATCGTACATCTATGTTTACATCATATAATGTTTACATTTTACAGCGCCTTCATTATCCCTGATCTTGGAATCAATAAAATGTTGAACTAATCTCCAGTTTCTTTAGTTTTTAGTACAGATGCTTTAAAACTGGCAGTTTGACATTTAAAAAAAAAAAAATCATGATAATCGAGATCGAACGATCCGAATATCCGAGCAGACAAAAAAAGGGACATGTGGCGTCCCCCAAGGCTCTATCCTGGGTCCTCTTCTGTTTAATATCTATATACAAAAACAAATTAAAAAGTTATGAAGCGTTTTCATTCAGTTTGGGGTTTTTAAACTGTTTATTTAGCAGCTAACACTTACTGTTTTACATGGACCATATTCTTCCTGTTATAAACTACACACACATTACATCCATCTGGTAAGATTTGGCATTTGTTGCTTGTTTTCATGCAAAACTGAGACGCATGAATATCATCATTTACAACACTTTGGCTAATGGTCCCGCAGACTGGAACATAAATGTGTTTTATACCCAAAAATAGCGAATAATGAATCATGTGACATTGACTGACGTTGCTGCATAACCATCTCCAACCTTGTATATTGCTGACTCATGCTTTAAAACCGAAAAGTATAAACTGCTGAGTCACTCAAACCTCTCCAGAGCAGCGTGGAAAGCCTCTCTACTCCCTCTCTCTCTCTCTCCCTGGGTGTCCACGCCGTTTGTTGGTTGACTGGTCTGGGGAAGGTCGAGTCCCGTTCAGAGCCAACATAAGCACAGACCCTTCTTAGAGAACTGGCCCCCGCAGCAGAAGGCACGTGAGCCCTGGCTTGCTCGCTGCCCTCCCGCTAGCATGCTTAGCTTTAGCATGTGCAGCCAAGAGCAACTGTCGCCATGTAGGTGTGAGGGTGGCGTGGAATAAGACATATGTGAACTTGAAATTGGTTGATTTCCTGTGCGAACACAGAGTCCATTATTTGGGTTGGAGTCTGTGAGGGTGCCAGGATGTGTGCCGGTCCAATAGAAGGCAGAACAGCTATGTGGAGCACAGATGGCGCAGCATATGGGTGAGTTTAAATATGAAAAAAAAAAACATTTTCCCATTTGTCCAACCCGATTATTCAACAAACCAAACAGAAAATAGATCTCAGTTTTTAACAGGATATTTTTAACATCTGTGTGACTCATTTTGGGACCGAGCGCGAAAATTAAACTGTTTTTTTTTACTATATTACCGCTGATCAGAGACATGTTGCTTCTTTCCTAAAACATCCTTCAGTTTCAGGATCAGGGATGTTTATTTTCTGCAGAATAAAGTGTCTGTGGGAACTTTTTTAAGGCCTAAATAAAAAATTAAACCAAGAAAGTCGAGAAGAAGAAGCTTCACGACAAAGACTGATTTTAAATGCAGCTGCGTCCATATGAAACACGATGGTTTGATCTGAAATAATGACGAAAATACCCTCTTTTACCTCAGTATATGTAAACACAGTTGAGTTCTATTTTTTTACGGACGGATAAATTCAGTACAGATTAACCCGTGCTGGAAAGGAAGTCGGGCACAGACACAAAATAAAACATCCAGCATCTTTTCAAAATAAAACACTCCGAATTTCAGGAGGATCGTATTTCACACCATGCAAACGGGCGGAGACGAACAAGTGAAAGGTTTTTAGACGTCATTTCACCCCGATGACACCATGGATGAGGAGATGCTGATTCTAGAAGTCTAGAAGTAGATTTCCTCCTCTGAAAGGACACAATCTACTGCTTATATGTCTGTGTCTAAAGACAACTCGTTATCGCGTGATCTCACGTGGATCCGCGCGTTCTTTTGAGTTCTTGCGGTTCCTGCTGTCCATTATCCGCTACAAAATTCGCCTTACAAACGGATCCTGTAGGAATTGGCAGACGGCGTAGCTGATCGTCGCTGATCTAGATGCTGTGGAAGTCCTGGGTAAGGCAAAGTCATGCTCCTAATTTAGCAACACACCTGTTAACTAGAAAAACTACGCTCAGGTGATCTGGATCTCAGTTGGAGGAAACATCGAGCAACATCAGCTCTGGTCAGACAAACACCTACCTAGGTTGTAAAACAATTAAAGTTGTATGACTCTCTCTCTCTTTGCTGCAAAACAAATAAGTTTTGTACTTAAACAGAAAACACGAACAGGAACTCAGACCTTCATTTGATCGATTGATGCAGAGTTTGTTTAGGTGTTGACGAGCGTGTTTACAGCGGTGAGATTCAGAGAAATAAATCCAGGTGCTTTAAAACATTTTTAAGAAGTTAAAAACCTGGAATAAATCAGAGGTGCTGTTGACGGTTAAAAAGGTTTCGACTGCAGTCTGACGGTTTTTCTTGTGGTTTGAAGTAACAAGTGCCTGTTCGGTCAAATCACAGCGAGAAGTCGGCGTACCGCTGCTGTTGCAACCACCTGAAATGAGACATGCTCTTTTTCTTTGAGGCTGCGGAGTTAAAAAGCAGACGGTTATGTATGAACACGGATGGAGAGACCGCAGAACGACGGCGTGCGGCTGGTGGCTGAACGCGGGGAGGTGGCGTCTTATCTGGATGTGTAAAGCTATTTGATCTCACCTCAAAGCTCCTCAAGTGAAGACGTTTCAGATGATATTAAAGAGATGTTGGTTCACCGAGGGGTGCAGGATGGAAATCGCTTTATTGAGGTTTCAGAGCCGGACTCTGATATTTAATCCAGGCTGGAGGAGATTAGGAGTTTTAATTTCACATTTAAGGATGTCGTAGTGTTAAAAAATAAAATTTAAAAAAGGGTTTGGCATCACTGAAAACAAAGAAAACAATAAAAAATAAAATAAACAGATAGGAGCGATCACAATTTATTAATAATGACTGAAGAATAAACCTTTCCATTTTGGAGTAAGAGTTCAGCTCTTTACCAAGAACCTGACAAGGGTGTGTGTTTTACCCCAAACACACAGATTATTTTATTTTTACTCAGGTCTTATTTTTGCTGTCTAGTATCTTAAAAGACTTTTTTTTTAATTAGAAATTCGACTAAAACACTGAGGTGAGTTTGACTGAAGCGAAAAGAAAGACACTGATAGACTTGTGGTCTAAGTGCGCCCTGTATCCGCAGTAAAGAGACAAAATAAAATTCAAAAAAATCAGATCAGATAAAATTTTACCGTCCTTAGCTTCAGTAAACTCGCCAGCGTTAGTCAAAAACCTGCTGGTTCAACTTCTGTCCACAAACCGGTGTGCAGGTCTAACAGCCCAGCAGGATAAAACTGAATTTAACTGATGTATTTTGATAAAAGTCAGCTGTATATGTTTAATTTTCAGGGAATAGAAACTGAACGCTGATTCTCCAGACCTGAGCGGTTTAGACGGTTCACACTGTGACGAATATTATTAATATTTTAGTCCTGAATCATTCAGGACTCTGAAAACCAACAGCAGGAGTTCATAATATTGACTTATTTGTTGACTAAACTGTTCTCTTTTTTTTTTTTAGCAGAGACACGATTAGAAAAGATGTTATTATTCTTCATTAGGTTAAATAAATACAACAGAAAAAAAATATCTTGACTAAATAAAAACCACAGTCACCGTCTTAACGTCTTATTTTAAGAGCCTTAAACAAAACCTGAAATATTTCTAACCAGAAAAACTAAATGTGCAAAAAAAACGTATCTATACACAAGCACAACATCTAATAAATACATTTTCAGAACTTGTCTGATAAATTTAAACTTAGTCTAGATATTTTGATTATAAAAACTAAATACTCTGTTTTTTTAGAGAAATCTACCATCTGTTCCCAAAACAGAGTACGAGAAGATCACTGATTCTAACCCCTAAAGTGTTTATCATATATTATATAATTGAAGATCAGCTGTTTTTTCTTCTCCTGGTGCATATTTTTAACCTTTTTTTTAATCAGATATCATGCAGTCATATATGTGTGTGTGCAAAAGTAAAATAAAAAGGTTTATTAAAATAAAACAAATACAAACGAAACTCTGCTCTCTCTCCTGACAAAACCGGGTCAAATATAAACACCGAAATTAAAAGCTGATTATTTCGACTCATCTCAACAAATTCAGGTCTGATTTTATTCTCGGACACTCAGGAGAATGAAGCTCGTATTAAGTCGAGTGAGTTTGTGTTTGCGGACAAAAAAACGGACAATTCAGGAGGAAATAAAGCATCCTACAAAATAAAAGCTTCGGTGTCAGAAATAGTACCTTAAATGTGTTTTAATCAGGTTTCTGTTTTAATTTGATCATTTTTGTGAAGTTAAGACGAGTTATTCTTCTGATCAGATTTTTCTTTATGTTATTTCAAGTTTAATGCAAAAAATTTAAAGACAAATGTCAGAAAAATAACTGGATTTTCCAAAACAAGAACTAAAACGCTCATTCCTCTCTACTTCTTTCCCTCTGACTTCCCCTCACCCCCTCCTGCCTCCCTCCTCCCCCCCACACTGGAGGTTTTTATACCCAGGCAGATGGCTTCAAACACCAGGTACCCCCCTTGGGAGCCCCATGAGGAGGTCCTGGACACTCCAGGCCTGCCTGAACTGCAGGGTGGGGCGTGTGCAGAGAGAGGGGACTGAATAGATTTATACATTTCTCAGATTCCAGCCTTAATGCACAGAGCGGCTCAAAGCACATGAACGCGAAAGGAGGAGGAGAAGGGGGAGGAGGTGCTGGGGGAGCGAGGGACGGCGAGTGGGCGAAGGAAAGAGGAGGAAAAGGAGAGGGGCAGATACCAGGAGAGCAGAGTTCTCACAGATCTCGCTGCATTTGTGTGATAAGAGAGGAAATCAGGGCTTCAGATGAGGGAAATTGCAGAGGGACACGTATCACCTTCCTTTACGTTGTGAGAGGCGGATCACAAGAAGCGCACAGAGACGGGAAAGAGATGGGATGTGAGGAGACGTCTTGAAATGTACTCGGAATAACCTCCTCAGAAAATGTTATGATATCCTCACTTATGAAAATGACTGTTTCTGCTTCGTTTCAGATTTATTTCGCCGGATTTTTCAGGAGGAGGCTTCATAATGAAACCAGGTGAAGTCGAAACATCCACGCTGCAGAGAAACAGACCCTCAGGCAGTAACAGTGTGCAGAGACACAACCCTGTGAGTGCAGGTTCACAGACCTGATCCCTGCAAACCCACATGTGTGCTCATCAACAGGACCACACCTGTGGGTTTGCTTATTTTTAGCCTGTTGCCATGTGGATTTTTTTTCTTGGATGTTTCTCCTTCTCTGATGTCAAAATTTCAGCGTGTGGTAAATCTTTTTTTCAGACTTCAGGCATCAGGATCCAGAGCATCCAGATACAACAGCTTTTATGAAGAGAAAACTAAAAAGTCCTATCTGAGCGTGTGGACATGACGCTAAATTGGACTTCTTATGTTGATGCTCCAGGTTTGCTCAGAGTGTCTTCTTTGGTTTGGGTATAAATATCATGAAACAGTAATCATGTGATTAAAAAACAAACATGAAAGTGATCGACAAGACCGGTAATCTGCTGATCATGTGAACCGAAAACTAAAAGTCCACCCTTAGACTGACCCCTGATCTGAATCTGAATTTATTGAAGGAGAGACCCTTGAGATGTAGCATTTCATTTTCAAGGGGGACCCTAAACAAACAAACATAGACCTCAGGACACATTACAACACATTAACATTTAACAAACAGACACCTTACTCACCCTACTCCAACACAACCCCAACCAACATACGCTTAACATACAAAGTAGACAAAACTTGTACATAAATGTAAAAGAGTAAAGAAAATAAATCAGGAACATGAGCAGTTTGTTTGGAGATGAGAGTAAAGTGCCCTTCTGAAGTGATAAAAAGAAGTAATAGAACATAAAGAAAGAGGTTATTCCAGTCTCATGGGGCTTCATACTGAAACGATCTTTAACCAACGTCTTTAAAGATTCTATGAACACAAAAAAATGGGTCGTTCATATGTCTAAGAGATTCTTTTCAAATCATTTAAACCAAATTAAAATTAAAAAATTCTTGAAACTTAAAAAAAAAGTTGATAAATATATACGTTCAAGATTCGTCAAAAAAGTTTGCTTCAAAAAGTTTGCTAGGATTTCATCATCTACAAATCATGAAAGAGAATCTGCAGAATCTGGAAACAAAAAGGGACAGGGTTAGATAACTGAGATCTTTGGACCCCTCAGGCGGCATTGCATCAAAATGACTCTGTAGTGGGAATCACTGCATCCACAAACGCAGATTAAAACAGGTCAATGCAAGGAGGACTATGATCCAGAAACACCAGAGACTCCTCCACACCTGAACCTTAATGGACTGAGGCGAAAATCATAGATGCTGCCCTCCACCCGACAGCGAAGGGTTGACAGTCCACGGTTTTTAAGCTCATACCAGCCCTGATGGTACGGGGATCATAAAACAGGATTTCCACCGCTTTTGGAAAGGCTCAGAGGAGGAAATCTACTTCTAGACTTCTAGAATCAGCATCTCCTCAATCATGGTGTCATCGGGGTGAAATGATGTCTAAAACTCGACTTCCTTTATTAAAAATAGAACTCTTGTGATCAGCTGTGGAGTCCGGCGATCTGCAGCAGAACAGAGAGAAGCCGGTGGAAATTGACACGTTAACTTGAATGGTTACGATCAGCTACGATCGGCGAATACGGACTTCTCGAAGCCGTTATGGTTACAGTGGTAGGAGTCCATCAGAATCAGGTTTTACTAACACTTGTAACACAAACTTTCCTCTGGGGTTGTAAATAAAACGATGAGTTTAAAGTGACGCAGATTAGGCCGATCATCAGGGGTCAGATCTGTGGTTCAGCATACAAACCCCTGACCCACCTCCTCCCTACGTTATCTGACTGTGAAGTTACCTGATGGAGATAAAGCCGCTCTGTTCTGTTGGTGAAGAAGAAACTGCAGTGGTGATAAATTTCACCCCCCGCCTTTCCTCCCCGTTTAAATGATAGCAGCGTCTCTAAAAGATCGTCTCTCATCGATCGCCTCCTCCTCCTCGGTTTTCTGGTCTCACAGCTGCGGCAGATTTACTGTCAGCCTCAGTGTTTCTGACAGGCGATCCGGCAGACGCTCGGGGTCCTTGAAGTGCAGAGAGGCCTTCCCATCACCGCCGCCGCGCTCCTCTGCCTCCCAGCAGGTCTGCGAAGTGGATTTACCGCCACTGTCGAAAATTCTGTCAGTCCTCAAAGGGAGAGAGAGAGCGAGCGAGCGATATGGGACTTTTTCTCCTTTTTCCACAGATGCTCGGACATGCAGTGTGTCTCTGTCCAACCCAGAGGGCCTTTGAAATCCGTCCGCTCGTTAATGGTCGTCTAATGGAGGCCGAGAGAGAAAGAGAGAGAGAGAATGGAGACAGCAAAGCTCTGAAAGGAGCGTTTTATAGCCTAAAGAAACTGCTCCTTGGTGCATTTTTCTCATTAATGCGCCTCTTTTTTATTGGAGGTAAGACTTCCTTTAACAGGCAGAAACCTCGAACAGAACCAGACTGGGACTGATCTGGATTTAGAGAGGTTAAGTCTGCAGCAGCGATCCAGAGGAACCTACGGCATGATGGAGTTACCCCCAATTTCCACCACATCCGGAACGCCTACGAAAAGGCCGTATCTGCCTGTCGTAACCATTCAAGTTAACGTGTCAATTTTCACCGACCTCTTTCTGTTCCTCTGCAGATCGCCAGACTCCACAGGTGATCACAAGAGGTCTATTTTTTCCGCCATCGCAGGTATGCACACAGAAACCCGTCTGTTGTCACGCGATTGCACGTGAATCTGCGGGTTCTTGCGATTCCTGTAGTCCGTAATCTGCCACTTCAGTTCTTCCAGTCCAGAGAAGGCCGTGTCTTTAGATGATGATGGTGCTGGTCTAGGATTCTGGTCCACAAATACTTTTACAGCCTGAGTCCTGCTGCTGGTTTTCTAAAGGTCTCTTGGTGGGTCTGAGGAGACTCCAGGGTGAAAACAACCCTCTACTCTAAAAGCAACTCAAAAAACGTGGAGCCATTCATCCCCCTGAGCTCCAACTCCGTCCACCACATACCTTCACGTCTCAAAGGCATCCGAACATAAAGGCGGATACAGAGAGACGGGGCAGCCCTAACAAAAGGGCCCTGCAGACCCCCCTTCCCTGTATAAAACCACCAGGTTCTCGGTCCAAGGAGAGTAAAATAAACAAACACCCTCTCCACCTCAGCTCCTTGTTCGGCTCTTTATCTCCAGGAGCGTCTCAGAGTGACAGGAACATTTAGTCGCATCTCTGCTGACGACCAATCAAGACCGAGGAAGAGGAAAACGAGTCTGTTTGAAATAGTTTTAAAGTGTTTTTTTAGTCCTTTGTTCGACTTTTACAGTAAAATAATAAGATGCAAGCCTTCTTCAGCGTCCTTATCCTTTGTAGAAACTTTGTCATCCAACAAATGAGACAATCTTCCTCTTGGAGATCATGGATGGACGGTTTTTATCACATATTTAGCAGGACAATCCCAAACCACTCCCGTTTGTTCGACCTATAAAAATACCGCGCTGGGAAAGAGGGCGAGACGGTCTTCTGAGGCGACCCTGAGAACTCTGCCGCCACAACACGACCCCTCGCACAAAGCCGAGGCCGACAATAAACCACTGGATATTAAAAGTCCGCACAAAGGAGACTTTATAGGGTCGCGATTTACGGCCGTTTCTGAAGTGAGCTCTCGGACTCTGTGTCATTTCAGCGCAGCGTGTTGGTCGAGGGTCGATAAAACATTTAGAGTTCCTTAATATCAGGGTTTAAGAGCGAATCCCCAGATTAGACAAAGTCATGAATATAAATTTGTTTCTGGCGTTCAAAAACAGACTTCAAGGCGGACGACATGAAAAAGGTCTGAAATCCTAAAGCTGCTCCTGAGAGTGAAGTCGGGAGATTTCCCAACCTCAGTTTTCAGAACCATGAGCTCTGTCGTCTTAAAACTACGATTTTAACACGTTTTATCTTGCTGTTTTTGGCTTTGTGTCTCTCAGCTAATTTTGATCATGAGTTGTTCAGTTTGAGGCGAACAGAGGAGGAAATATTAATCTGTCATTGTTCTGAAACTGGAGGTGAAAATACTGCTGTGTGAACGCTGAGTCTTCTCCCCTAATTCCACACATTATAATGTTTTATTGTAATTATTTTATGCTCCCAGAAAAGGTATTTTGATAAATTCACTTATTTAAAGTTAGATGCAGGTAACAAAAAAAAGTTTCCAAAATTGTTTTCCATAAAAAAACCTTTCAGCACTAGCACCCCTCACTTATTGGGACCACAATCCCTGCAGCGGTCACGGGTTCGAGTCCAGCCCCGACCATGTGCTGCATGTCCCCCCCCTCTCCCCACACTTCCAACCTTTCCTGTCAGTAAATGCAAAAATTGCCAAAAAATATAAAAAATAGTAATAGTATAGTTAAATGATTTTAAACTTTTTTTTTTCCTTTAATAAAAAGTGAATTATTTTGGTCTTTTTTCAAATAAGGGCTGTGAAATAATAATTTTAAAAAAGCCTGACATAAAAAGACAAACTTTTCAAGAAAGATTGATTGAGGATTTTTTTTTTTTTTTTTTTTTATCTGCTTGGCCGAACTTGACCCCAACAGGGGAGTCCTGACACCAGTAAGGGTTTGGACACCTCTTAGATCCGCCCCTGCTCCTGTACTCAGCTCTTTGATTTGGACAGGAAAGGTTGAGTTCAAATAACTTCTCGACAAAATCTTAATTTCTGCCCCCCAAAAAAGATTTCTGATTGATTAGAGAGGCCCCGCCCACTCTCACAGGTGTTCTTAATGAACTAATTAGGCAGAAGTTACTTAAAATTACAATGTTTGAATTATCCCTGAAATCTGCTTAGATACAAACAGATTTAAACAGAAAAAAAGACTCTGGGAAAATGTATTTCAAGAAAAATGCCAAAAACAAACCTGAAGTACCTGAAAGAGTTAAAAAAAAGAGTTAAGTTTCTATAAATAAGAAAATGCCTTATTTCAAGAATGGATATTGTCATAAACCAGGGGACAAAAAGCCAAAATCAGTGCTGGATTTGAATCATCATGAGTAATTCAGGTGTTTAATTTTGAAATGAGTCATTTTTATGGATATGTTAGGTGAAATAATCCAAATTAAGCCTTTGAACTGAAAGAAAATCGGCTAAAATTTGAGTTTTTTTCTGAGTGAATCAGTTTAGAAGTGCAGTTTGATCCACTCACACAGGTGTTACTGATTAAGCCGCCTGATTGGACACCAGCTGATCGTTTTTAACCTCCTCAAACTCATGTCTCCTTTTTCAAGTCATTTCAGAGACGTTAAAGTAATCCAGAAATTTTTTTATTTCTACACTTAAAACCAAAGTCTGAAACATTAAACTGAGTTTGTTTGACTGAATCAAACTTTCCTCTAAAACTAAAATCTAGAAAGAAACACGGGATGACGAGTTCTGAAAACATGATGGCTTCATAAAATCAGAATAAAATCATAA